AAGTAAGAAGTGGAGAACAATAGGAAGAGATGAAAGGAAGGAGAAGTAAAAGGAAAGGAGAAACAAGTAAGAGGAAGACAAGAAGGAAGTCAACAGGGCAGCGTTAGAGGAATTAATGTTCACGATTAGAGCTTCAGGTTAGCACAGCTAACTAGGTAGTTAGAGGTGAAAGGACATTTAAGAAGCTATTTGAAAAGGAAACCACTGAGAGAGTTACCCATTTTCTGCAGATAACAGGAAAGCTAAACAGAGCTCAGCAAAGCGTTCTGCTTTGTTTCTTTAAGCATCGAACATCCATCGAACATGCCGGATCTGAAAGCATCAGAGGCCTTTTTGAAATGAGGAATGTGCCGTAAAGGCATACCTTCTGCAAATATACACAGCGACTGGCCTGTTAGTAATGCTAACCATGCTAACTGGGCTAATGACTAATGCAATATATCACAGGCGGATCCAAAATTACTATTTTAGCATTAGTATTTTTAAGTCAGGGGGTCAAAGTTTTGCAAAAATCAGACAACACTCTGATTGGTCCATCTCTAAGTTCTGTATTTTAACATTTCGGTTAGTGTGTGTGTGTGTGTATATTATATATATATATATATATATATATATATATATATATATATATATATATATATATATATATATATATATAGCAGCTACACATTCCAGGGTTTCCTCCAGTGTATTATAAGCCTGGCGGTCCACCAGGCTTTACCTGCCACCCCACAGGCCAAGTGTCATTTATTTATTTTAAATATGTTTTTTTTTTTTTAATACACTAGTAACAGTGATAGTAAAGACAAATTAAGCCAGACTGATGGCACCAAGAACACCGGGATGATTTTCTGGGGGAAACTCTGTATACATGTATATAAATATACACACATTTGTTTTTACCAGTGCTATTTTTTCTTTCCTCAAATTATGACCTAGCTTTACTCTCTCTCTGCTGCACACTGACAAAGCCTACACTCCTGTTGTCCCTCCTCTCAGATTGCTGTGAAGCACCAGGCGTCCACAGGCAGCCCAGATAAACACTCCACAGCTCCACAGAGTGGAGCCCAGCCAGCCCATCTCTGCAGCTACTGCTGCTCCTCCGCAGCGGGGCATCAAATTAGGAGGCTGTTCTAATCTCCACCATATCATGACATGTTCACCAAGGCAAAGAACAGGAGGATCACAGCTCTTTAATGTAATTAGTCTGGGATTTCTGTTTAATTACAAACATCATTAAATTCAGATCTATTCTTTATCAGGAGTGGGGGAAGAGGGGAAAAAAAACAGAATCAAGGGGTTTGGGGAACTCTTGGCTGACTAATTTCACCGCAATTGATTTTGTTTTCATGATCCGATTTGCTCGACACAGACGATGATGACATGAAAGATTTCAATCTCATCTTTTGGTGTCGGGGCGGGCGAAACAAAGAACGTATTTTTCGTGACAAATGCCGGTGGTTTAATGGAACTGGCAGGTGGTTTGGTCGCAAAACTGAAAAACGCATGAGCTGCGATTCTTCCGACTTCCGAGCATGTGAAGGTGGACGGAGTCGGTGTGTGAGGAAGTAAGCAGAGTTGTGTTAGAAGCCTAGAGAGTGGGGCTCTGGCTTTCCACACGCGGCCGTCTCTGAATGCAGCATGTGTTTCAACTTAACATTCCACTTTGCCCTTCACTCCTTCTCAGTCCGCCACTTTTCCGATCTGCGCCGGAGGCACCCGCCACCTACGATCACACGCGCAAAAAGTCCAGCAGCAGGTCAGCGAAGGCGAGAGGAGCAGAGAGGAGGAATGGAGGACCATTAGTAAGCGGTGGAAAGTGGTTTGAGACGAGCGGCGGCGCAAGGAGGAGGAGGAGAGGTGAAGAGGTTTACCTCAGTGCTGGGTGAAAAAGTCCTGCGCTCTTTTGGTTTCAGAAACAGGGGGGTGATCTTCTACATGATCCCACCCAGTAAGACAGGAGATGAAGTGGATCAGAGCAGGATGAGAGGAGGAAATGCAGCGGAGCGGCGACGTGGACCACCTGAGGTTCTGAAGCTGAGAAAGACCTGAAATCCTCTCACACTGCACAGCTGAGCATAGAAGATGGAGGCAGGATTGTGGTTTCTGCCCCCCCCAGGTCAGGCAGAGGGGGTCTGCACGGTGTGACCAGTCACATCACTCAGAGCTGGTCCAGATGGAACGCTGCTGGGACGGACTGCCGGGAGCGCCTCTCTCTCCCACCACACCGTGCAAGCCTGCTAACGCTAACCGGGTCGACGTTCAGAGCCCAGATCAGAACCACATAGGAACAATCCTCAGCATCACAGCTAAACAAAGAGCCGTTTATATTGTCTTATGATCTGTGAGGCTAAAACTCGTCAAGTCTGAGTTTTTCATATTTACCTTAGACTGTATTGATATTTATTTTTAACAGAGAAAATATCTTAAACATCAAACCTACTATGAAAAGCATAAAGCTTCTGGAATGACCTGATACCAGCTCTGAACTCAACTCTAGGGAAAAAAGGAAATGAAGTACAGGTAGAAGGAAGGAAGTAAAAAGGAAGGAAAGAATGAGGGAAGGCAAGAAAGGTAGGAAAGAAGTAATAAGAAAAAAACAGAGGAAAGTACAAAAATAAGGAAAGAATGAACAAACAAAAGATGGAAGAAATGAAGGAACAAAAGGAAGGAAATGAAGTCCAGGTAGAAGGAAGGAAGTTAAAAGGAAGAAACAAAGGCAAGAAGAAACAAAGGAAGCAGGGAAGGAAGGAAGGAAGCATGGTATGAAAAAATTAAGGAAGAATGGTATGAAGTAAGTAAGAAAAAGGGATGTAAGAAAAGAAGAAAGGAAGAAAAAAGAAAGAAAGGAAGGAAATGAAATACAGGTAGAAGAAAGGAAGATGTCTGGATATTTTGGGACAGAGGTTTTGCTTTACTGTGCGACGCCGACACTACGCTTCTTAAGTTTATTCACACAGTAAATATTAGCGACAAATAATAATAAAAAAAACAAGGAGCCTTTGATTTACTAAACATCACAACAGCTACAGCGCTGATGAAAGACTGTTTTCTCTCCATCAGCGCTTCCCTGAGTCCAGCACTGATTGTAGCAAAGCCACATAAACACACGCTGGCGGCTAGCAGGACAGCAGATGAAGGGTCTCATTCACTGCAGCTGCCAGGAAGCAAACATCAACCAGTCCAGCACACACACTCTGCTCTGAAGGAGCAGCAGCTCCTCCACACTGGACACATTTTCAGGACAGCCTCCAATGTCTCACTTAGACCTAAAACTTTTGAGAAATGAGAAAAATAACTTTTAGGATTTTGATATATGTAAAGCTGATTTAGAGAAAGCCTCCCCAGTGGTTATACTTAAGTCGCAAGTTTGACTTTTCGACGGCTGCAAGCAACAAGCCTCGGTCGTATCTGGGCCAAACAGCTTTCCGCCTACAAGTGAGCGGATGCTGACCCCTACTCTACCTCATGACCAATTAAAACATGAAAATGAAAACACTGCACCTCTGGTTCAGGAGAAAAAATATTACCGATATGCCAACTATACAAGGGTTTCTGCAGGTTTCACCAACACAAACTTAAAACTTTTTAAGACCACTTTGAAAGGAATTTAAGACCTGCACGGCAACAGAAATGCACAAAAGAAAATCGCAAATAAATAAAGAAATTGTAAGGAATGGCAACGGAAGTGAGCCAATGACTAAGATGAGCATCGTCCAGACAGCCGGCGATAAATTTGCACTCAACCATGATGGATGTAAAAAGTCTAGGTGGCTTTACACTAGCTAGTTAGAAAATGTGTTGACAGCTAGCATGACTCAAAGTTTTACGCAGCAGTAAAGTCCAGTGAGAAACAAGAAAACTACACAAAATATATGAAGTTAACTAGTCCTACCGCAACAATTAAGACCTGTGAATAACAAACGGCCAACTTATTTTATGTGAACTTAAGACATTTTAAGGCCTTACTTTAAGATACATTAAGACCTTTTAACAATGCATGGACACCCTCCATGTAGAGAGGATGAAGTGGGGGGAAAAAAGCAGGGCCACCAAGAATGACTAACAGAACGAAAACATAATCAAAGAAACAATCCTAACCACATTAATAATTATTAGGCCTATAAATGTTAACATATGAATGCATGCGATTGATCTAAAAAGCTTAATGTGGTAATATTACATAATTCATATTAATGGCGTTACCTAAATTGACCTAAAAGCCTCTCTCTTGCAGATGGTTACTTAGTTGAAAGCAGCGTTTTACACGGTCTTGTACTGCGTACTGCGGTCAGAAATGGAGAGTCACGTGGGGTGCTGTGGTGGCGCAGGGGTTAAGCACAACCCACATATGGAGGCCTTAGTCCTCAACGTGGCCGTTGCAGGTTCGATTCCCGACCTGGCGACCTTTGCCGCATGTCTTCCTCATCTCTCATTTCCCACTTTCCTGTCAATTAACTATCAAATAAAGGCTAGTAGAGCCGATAAAACCTTTAAAAAATAAAGAAATGGAGAGTTGCAAGCGCGAGTGAAAAAATGAGCGAGGAGAGTCGGACTGGTGCGCTCAGCGGGAAATTTCACTTTAAAAAAAAAGATAGACATTTAGATAACACCAAGCTAAAATGTAACCTATTCGCTGCAACAATGAATTATCCTCCCACTGAAGAGCAACCAGTTAATAGTTAGCATTTCAAAATTACGTTTGAAACAAAATGACTTCTTTTAAACCGTCCTGAACATGAAGAACTGACCTGACCAGCTTGAGACGACTGAACATTTTTCCCAAACGTTTATTGAAAACATGCATTTTTATGATGAATCACAGCGCTAGAGCATGATTACATTTTTCAATCAATTTGCAGCACTAATAATAACAGTGCTGTAATACAAACTAAATGCTGTTCCCCGTTTAGTCTTTTCTGTATTCAACTGAATAACTGGAAAAAAAAGAAAAGATTTTCCCAAGGATTGTCTTTCGGCTGATGTTGAAAGAAACTCACTTGGATCTTAATGGGCCACGTGAAGTTGCTGACGTAGACGAAGAATGTTATGTTCGGACTGTTGCGGAAATCAAAGTTCTCGTTGGAAAAACTGTCTTTGAATTCCTTGATGTTACACCGTGAGATGATGGGAATCTCCTCTCCGGTCTGGGTGCCTGCTGGAAAACAGAATAAAAAAATTTAAAAAAAGTGTCATAATGGATGAAGGGAAGAAGGAAGGAAAGGAAGCCATGTTGAGTCGACAATTTAAAGAAAGAAAAAAAGGAGTGAAAGTTGGTGTAGTAGGAAAGAAAAGAACCAAACAGAACACTATAGGAATTCTAAAAATATTAATAAAAAGCAGAACAGTTTACCTCAACATAGTAAGAAAATATTGCAGAAACTACAAAAATGCCCTTTAAGTAGCAACCTCTTTTTGTCTACTTTTTAAGCCAAAGTTATTCATAATTTAAAGTCAAAAAACCCAACAGGACAATATTTTAAACTTCATTTTTCTTCCTTGGAAGTAAATGGAAGAAATATTCGCTTTCAGCTGGACGTGTAAAGCAGCTGCTTGTTGCTAGGTGTGTTTCCTGTGGCACAGAAACGTACCTGTGAAGCTGGTCGCCCAGGTAATGTTCAGGTTGAAGTTCTTGGAGGCGTTTATGAACACATCCAGATCGCGGTTTGGCTGTGGGGAGAGCAGAAACACAGCAATTATACCAGCAGCAACATCACTGCTTTTAATTTGTCTCCAAAAAAAACAAGAACAACAAACAACAAAAATACTTGTAAGAGAAGCAAAAGCCAGTGAGGAAAGGCTAGATTTGATTTCATTAGGTACTGAGGAACCCAAAGTCGCAGGTCAGAAAGCGGAGTAGAGATTTTATTCACGCTGCAGCATCACAAACACACTTGTGAATAAGAGCAAACGGCACAGGTAACAGAAGATAAATTCATTTAATAACTCCAAACTCTGTGTATTATATTGTTTTTGAAGACGACATGACTGGAGATGTGCAGAGAGAGACTGAGTTGTGCTGGTTGACAGCTCAGTTTGAGAAGAAAAAAACTTTAAAATGCAGTCAGTGAATGCACCACACCAAGCACTACTATGTCACTCTTCGGTTTGGATGTTGTTACTGAGGAAAGAAGACTGAAAGCTAGCACTTTTCAGCAGCAGCTACAAAATGATCCAACCTTTAAAACTTTTAAACATGCTGTCACTTTATTACCACAAACTTCAATTGTTTTTGTTGTTGTTTTTTTTAAGTATGTGGAAGATTTTTAAACCTTTGCGATTGATTGGATTGATTTCTGATCCAAGTTTTCGAATAATTTTTTTTTTAAATGAGGGTCATCAGTGCACCCCTACAACTAGGTACCGGCAGCCAATTTTTTTTCTTTAGATTTTTGGTACTCTAAATGCATTTTTCTACTAAGTGTATTACCA